TCTTTGATGCTATGCCACATCACAGCATTGCAGCCTGGAATATGCTCATCACGGCATATATCCAATCAGGGCATCTGCATGCTGCGAAGATGGCCTTTGACGCAGCCCCAGTTAAAAGCATTGTAACGTGGAATGCCATTTTGGCAGCATATTCCCAGTCCGGAAGTGTCGATGTGGCAAGGCATCTCTTCGATGAAATGCCAATGTGGAATCTGATATCGTGGACGACTCTGCTGGTGGCATATACCCAGAACGGGCATTTGGAAAGCGCAAAAAATCTTTTTGATGCTTTGAAAGAGGCTGATCGAGACCTTGTAGCATGGAACGCAATGCTTGCCGGATATGCGAAGCTCGGGAAAACCAAAGAAGCGTTTGATTTGTTTCAAAAGATGCCATTGCTGGATCTTTTCTCATGGAACACTATCCTTTCTGCCAATGCCCAGAAAGGAAACCTTCACACAGTGGAAGAGATCCTCTCTTCAATGCCTATGCTTAGCCTGGTTTCCTGGAACTCTGCCTTAGGAGCATATGCTCGTTTTGGATCTTTGAATCAAGCAAAAGACCTCTTCAAACAATTGCACCAGCATGATCTACTCTCCTGGAACTTGAGGCTCTTGGCATATGCTACAAACGGGCATCTTGAAGAAGCCAAGGGCTTGTTTGATTTGATGCCGCAGCGCGATGCCAGCTCTTGGACGGTGATGATTGCATTGTACGGTGAATATGGCCTAGTCCATGAAGCCAGAAATATGCTAGAGGATATGCCACAGCATGACGTACCTGCATGGAACGCCATGCTTGGAGCATATGCCCAAAACGGGCATCTTGAGAAAGCTTTGTTAGCATTCTTTAACGAGGCACCGTGTTGGAACCTTGTTTCATGGACTGTGATTTTATCCCTGCTCGTAGAGACTGGAAGATTCAAGCAAGCTTTGGAGTTCTTCCATTCGATGCCAGAGAGAGACATCGTTTCATGGAACATACTGCTGGCTGGTGCTGCAAACCGTGAAGACAAGAGAGTTCTCTTCGATCAAATGCCGCAGCACAACCTCGCAACCCTGTGGATTATGGGAAAGATCGAAGACGTCGGCCAACATTACCTTCCCCGTGAGAGCTTTGCGTCCCAGACTGCGTCCTTGATCTTCCTCCTCCACAAAGCAAGCCTGGAGCAAGCCAAGTTCGTGTTCGACAGCATGGAGCTCCGAGACCTCGGTTCCTGGACGGCCATGCTCGTTGCCTACGCTCAAGCTGGGCTCGTTGATCTCTCCCGGGAAATCTTCGATGGAATGCCGCAGCAGGACTCCACCAGCTGGAATGCAATGCTCTCGGCCTATTCCCAAAATGGTCTTCTCTTTGAGGCCAAAGTGATCTTCTTCCAAATGCCGGAGAGAACTTTTGTCTCGTGGACTGCCATGACAAACGCCTATGCTCTCAACGGGCATCTCGGCCTCGCTGCCCAGAGCTTCAGCCGGACACCCGAGCCTCGTATCTGTTCCTGGAATTCCCTGCTTGCTGCCTACGCCCAAAACAGCCACACCACCGAAGCTTTTGATCTCTTTGCCAAGCTCAAAGTTGCCGAGCTGCCGGATGATATCACCTTCAGTTCTGTTTTAGTTGCCTGTAGCCACGAAGGGAAGTTGCTTAACAGCAAGGACCATTTTCAGTCAATGAGTGTTGACTTTGGAGTGTCACCCAACAAGCACCACTACTGCTGCATGATAAACCTCTTCTGCCGAGCTGGACATCCAGGTGATGCACAAGAGCTTCTGTCCACTATGCCTTTCGTTCCCACTGCTCTGGAATGGACATGCTTGCTGGGAGCCTGTAAAAGCTACAATCAGGTTTCTCAAGCTGTTCAAGCTGCAAAGTATTTTCTAGATCAGAGTAGCGGAGGGTACTTGTTGCTCGCAGGTCAGGTTGAATCTTGTAGAACCTGTGTATAACAAATTCAAAACCAATATATTATTAGTCTTAATCACAATAATAGTATTTTAAGATGTAAATTATTTAATAATAATTATATTGCAATCTATGTAGATTCAAGTGAGGCTACTTGTTTTAAAATGTAATTTTGCAATTTGTATGCAACACAATATATCTTTGTAAATTCCTTTATACTTATACTTATTTAAGAATGCACCGACAAGTTTCAATTTTTTTCCTTTATTTACCTTGGGCTTCAATAATGTGGACTTCAATGATTGACTACAAGCTGAGACATATATTTGTGTCTTTTTAAGTGCAACAATCTCATTCAATCAGGAAATATTGTCAAGCTAAATCTCCCTTTTTCCTCTTTTGTCCTAAAGTCTCTTTACTCTGGGAAAAAAAATAAAAAAAATAAAATATATATTAAGTAATAAAGTAAGTAATGATATAAAATATAAATAGAAGCTGTGATTTTTATCCATCAAAATTATCATTGTTACGAACTATTTTAGCACACTCTCAAAAATTTCAAATATTTATTATCTTATAATGTATAATTCATAGATTATAAAATGCTACCTAAAATTCTTCATTATTGAAAATTATTTTAATAATTTAGAATACAGTAATAATTATATTATAAATATTAGAAAATATTTTAATTGAAATGTAGCACAAAAAAATCAGTTGCTTTTCTTAAAGACTGATATTTTGTTTTCTACAAATTATGTATTCTTAAAGACAATTTAATAGACCAGGTCAAATTTTTATATAATTAAAAAATATTTATTTTTAGCTTCAATGTAATTTTCCTAAATAAGTATGACTAGTGTATTATTATCTTAATTAATTAATTAATGAGATGATCAAGATAATGAATCAAGCTGCTATCAATCTAGAGCCTTTACTCTCCTATAAGTTGAGAAGCTTATAAATGGTGGTGGTGCTGGTAGTGTTGTGAAATGTATATACTATGTTTGAAAAATCTTAAAAGTAATATTACAGTAGTAACAACCTTGAATAACAGCAAGGTATTGGCACTGAAATTTCAAATCATACCGTTCAGTATAGCATGTTAAATGGCTGTCCTTCAAATTAATTATATTGGATATACTAATTAAAATGTGAGTATAACTTTTAGTATAAGTCACTCTGTGAGTGCTTGAGATATGGGAATAGGTATATTAATTAGAGTTTATATATACAACAACGGGATGGACCAGATTCAATCCTAAATAGATAATTTATATACTATAATACTATAATTAATGTAGTATCTAGCAAAAGTATTATCCATCGTGTGTGTGTGTTTATATATATATATATATATATA